TCTAAAAATGTAAGTTTTCTGGTTGCTTTCTTTCCTCCAATTTGATGTTCTAGAGCCTGCTCTTTGATTTATCTACCCTCTTCTGCATACATTATAAGCATGCAGTAGGAAAGACGGTAAGTCTATGTGCTGCCTAAACTCCAAAGTCAAGTGTTCAATATACAATTCAAAGAGACTCTACCAACATCATCATCATCATCATCATCATCACAGTACTGGTGAATTCACTGGATTCTTTCAGGGTGCCAAGCACTGTGTTAACTGCTTTGCATACACTGTTGTCAATCAGTTAATCATTGTTAGTTTCACAGTGCCAAGAGGTTAGTTACCAGAACCTCAAAGAGTTTCTGTTTTAAAACATGTATACTAGGGTTGCTAGGCAAATAGAAAATGCGGTTAAAATTCTAAAATGCTAGGAGAATACAGTGGGTCATCAGGCTTGGGGATGCTGCGGTTGGTTTGCTTTCTGTTTTAGGGAAATGGTGTCCCTATGAATCCTGTCTAAGTTATTTTCTTAGTGCAGGTGAGTGAGAAAGACTGCTGCCTGCAGAAATCTTTCTGGAGGAACCCAAGGACAAATCATGTCTTTTAATTTTCTGGTTGAGAGAACTATTGGTTCTGAGTTGAATCTTTGCTAGGCAATGGGCTGGCTAGGCTGGGCTCATTTGGATACAGCATCAAATAAAGCAATCAAAAAGAAAATTCCTCTGTAACTCTCGCTGGTATTTAATATTTTATTCATTCCCATGTTATTGTGCTTCGCCTGTGGTAAAACAGCCTCAAAACAGCCTCCTAGGAGTGAGACATTAGGAGGCTGACAAGCATTTTCCCATGAATTGCTACTACAACACAATGGCATTTTGTTTGCTGTTTTGTTTCCTTGTCTTCTAACATTCTTTCTGACTTTCAAGGAAAAGAAAAAAAGAAGAAAAAGAAACCCTCTTATGAATGGCAAAGAAAAGGAAAGAAAAGTTTCTTTTAAACTTTCAACCTTTTTCAATTGGTACTGGGTAGCTTGTAAACATTTTTTTTTTTTCTCATGGTATATATGCTGGTAGTCTCTTCCCTTTTTTGTGCTTTAAATGGCCTTTTTTTTTTTTTCTTTTACCCCATAGCATTGCCTTTCCATTATTGATTCAGAAAATTGGCAGGGAAAAAAAATCAACCATGTACACATATTAAGAAAGGGAAGTCAGAGGAAGATGGATCAAACCATCCATCTATCCATACAGCCATTTATCTATCAATCCATCTTGCTACCCACCCGCCTCTATTAAAATAAATAGCAGGCACTGTACACATTGCTGGTTGGCTGAAGTTGTGATCTGGACAAAAGGTCTGTTTGGGAAAAGGATGCTGAAGCTCTAATTCTATTTGTGCCGGTTGAAAATCAGGAGGGGTTTTTCTACACTTCACTTTTATTAGATTATTTCTTATAGATGGTTTCTTTTTTTCCTCCCAGACGCGTGGTGGAGGCTGCTGAAGCAGTTGGTCTATAGTTGGAATAATTAAATTAACCATTTGCTACAACTTTTAGGGGAGAGCTCGCGTGTAGAAAGCACAACTGGAACAAAACAGGGCGCTGGGGCTGGGGCTCTGGCCTGGCCCAGCCCCGCACGCCTTTCATCTCCGAGCAGAAGCAGGACCCCGGGCCACAAAAGACGGGCAGAGGACCGATGGGCTGGGGGGCGTGGGCGGGGGGGAGTGGGGGACGGTGACACTGAACAAAATAAACCTACAAGGCCTACAAAGGGGAAAATGAAGTCAAGCGCATTTGCTCATCCGACCGTGCGATCCGGCGCTGAAAGGTCTGCTCCTACAAAGGCAGGGAGGCTCACGGCACCCTGACCCGGCGGGGCCGGGCACCAGGGGGCGCCTGGAGAGTGCAGGCGCGCGAGCCGGAGGCGCCTGGGAGCCGAGGCTGGTGGGAGCCCCGGACGCAGGGCGGGGAGGGATGGATCCCCGGGCAGGAGACCAGCACTGGCCGCGGCTGGGCCTGTCGCTTGCCCGCCCTCGCGTGCCCCCTCCGCGGCTTGGCACTCCCCTGGCCCGGGCCCCTTGGAGGAGTCCTCGCCCCACTCCCTTGCCTTCTCCTCTCTCACCCTCAAATGCCTCGTCCACACCCAGCTCCCCTGAGCTGCACACTGACCTCCTCACCCCAACACTCCCTGTCACAGGAACTGCCTCCCCGCGCCCGCCGTCTAAATCCCAAAGTTTGATATCTTCCCCCCAGAGCCATCCTCTAAAACTGTCGACGAGAACGTCTGTGCTGCGGAACCCGCTGCACACTCTAGGTCCGCGTCCTGCCTCCGCCCCGAAAGCTAGCGGGGCCTGGAGACTCTGCAAATAGCACCCACGGGGGAATCGCCGTGCACTCGGGGCGCAGAGCAGCGGCGCGGGGCGGAGACGGAGCTTCCCGGGAGGAGCGTGCTCTCTGCACCCGGCAGAGACACACCCGGGTGCAGCGAGGCGCGGGGCCATGCCGGGTGTGAACCTGGTTATTCTCAAGCATAGACCTGGTAACGGAAATGCATCTCCTCCCGGCCATCCTGCGTGGTTCTCTTCTGCAGAGAAACGCGCTTAAACCCAGCAGTAGAGGAGTGGGATGGCGGGGTGCCACCCCGGCCGGTGCCCGCCGCACCCACGTCCCCCACGTGAAGGCCTGAGGAGCCTAATGAGTGTTCGAAAAACCAGGAAGCATCCCCCCGCTCCCCGATCCAAGGGAACCGAAAACTTGGACAATCGCAACCTTGTGCTCGACAACAAAACCCCCTACCTCCCGTAAGTGGACTGGGGGTGGGGGTGGGGGGGTTAAGGGTGGGGAAATTCCATGTGTAGAATCCAAAGGGTACGGCCACCTCCCGGTCCAAATGCAGATTCATATTCATGAGAGCGGGATAAATAAAGACAAATCCCTGCTGTAATAACACTTGGATTCGCATCCGTCTTTGCTGGCCTTTAGGTTTAGGGGACTGAAGACAGATGTTTGCATCCCTTTTCTCCTCTTGTCTGGTGACCATAAAGAAAAACCATTTAGAGCGTTGCAATTTGTTTCCCGCCGCAGTAAAACCTTGTACACATTTATTTTCATTTCACCCCCGTGCACAAAAAAGTGCACACTGGTCACCAAGGGACTTTCTTTATCAAATACGCATTGTACAACATGCAACTGCAATAAAACTATCAGCCCTCCCCATAAAACTATCACCAGGCTCCTTGGTAGGTCCCACCGCCTGCACTCCCGACTTTAGCGCTTCCTCACATCCAGAGGAAGAGCAATTACCTGAAACGAGCCTGAAACTCACCCTGCAGAGAAGCACAAGGCTGGGGGGCCGCTGTCCCTGTTTAATCCATTACGGCGTCCTCAGCAGTTTAGTGCGCAATAAAACACTGTGGCAGTGGAGAGCGGGCGCCCATCCACTCCCCGGCACTAGCATCGAATTAAACCACTTAGTTTGGCAAACACTGAACGCCTAAATGCCCCTATAAAGACTTTATGAGTTTGTTACTTTAATTACTGACTTGTTACAGAGCACATAAAGGGGGTAATGAATGCAATAAAACTAATTATCTACACATTTAATTCATATAAAATATCCAGGGTTTGTTTACACCACACGGCGATTCAACTAAGCATTCCCCCTCTTGTCCACCGAGAGGAAGGATTTAATGAAATAGTTTCCCTTATTTTGCTAGAGCCTAACGAACCAAAAGAAAATTATCTTCCGCTTAAATCATGGGGACACCGAGGTCCACAAATCACGGTTCGCTTCTTTGTCTATGACTCTCTGCCAGTACCCAAAAGCCCAAGGAATGGGACAAGGAAGGTGCCCAGCCTGGAGCCCTTGCTTGGGCATTTAAATGGCAAGGATTTAGCTCACTGCCATCTGCAAACCCAAATGGCAAGCAAACATCAATCCTCATTTCGAAGCCCGGATCTGTGAAGGATTTAGGCACCTAAAAAAAAAAGAAAAGGTGGGAGCGACAAAAAGAAGGAGAGCGCCCGAGAGGAAGAGGAGACATTTGGGTACACTTCCTGCCCGCTTGCCAGTTATGGCGTAATTAAAACGAACAACCGCACCGAACCTCCAAACCAACCAAACGCAAACCTTGCGCTAATGCAGACATACAGAACTCAGCGCAAAGAACTCATCGGTTGAGAATCCAGATGTTTCAAATTCAGGAGCTTTACTTAGAATGTCTTTATGTTACTTTTTAAGCGGCTGTATACCCTGAGTCTCTCGAAAGCACATTAAGCTGCAGGAAGCAGTGCAATTTATAAGATGCTATTTCTGTCGCGCGCGCTCTCTCGCTTTTATCCCCTCTACCAGGTGTATTTTAAAGAAATTCGCTTATCGTTCACATAAACCCCCTTGGCCCACTTACTCTATGTTACAGGGCGCCTGAGTCTTGCCAATGTCCCAGTCCTTTATAACATTTCATGCACTTCAGGGGGTAGGCTTGTTGTTAAATTGAGCGTGTAACACTCTTACAAAACAGGTTTTCTATGACATCAAGGTTTCTTCTCCATAACAGGGAGGGGGGAAAAAAAGAGGACGAAGAAGGGGGAAAACACACACTATCTCAATTTATGCCTAAGGTATATGATCAGTTAAAAAGGCTTAAAAGCTCGGGGAAATTGGATCAGGGAGAATCGTCACCCAACTTTCATTATTTCCAAGTAGTGTGATTGAATTAAAGGGCAGGGAGCTGGTTAGAAGGGAGGATCAGGGGCTCAGTGCGTAATGGTGTGGTATTAAATTCTAATTAGAGATGCAGGAATCAATGATAGGGAGGTTGGACAGCTCAGTTCCCCAGTGCCAGCCCAATAGACGGATGAGTTATTGTCATGTAAAAAGCGCCAGCAATAAGACCAACCGCTTTGCTATTGTCCAAGTGGAAAGAGCCAAGTTTATTATGAGGACTATATGCTCTAGAGACCTCAGACAAGGCATCTCATAGGAGGCTTTTTCATAAAACTAGGCTCTGCTGGTAGTAAGGAGGCCAGTTTGCAGGCAGGCGCTGAGCTGTGCACATCTCCCCACTCCAGCCGTCTTCTCCATATCCGTCTTTTATTTCATTTTTCCACTTGGCTGAGCCATCCAGAGCCTTTTCAATGTATAAAATGGAATATTCTTACCTCAATTCCTCTGCCTACGAGTCCTGTATGGCTGGGATGGACACCTCGAGCCTGGCTTCAGCCTATGCTGACTTCAGTTCCTGCAGCCAGGCCAGTGGCTTCCAGTATAACCCGATAAGGACAACTTTTGGGGCCACGTCCGGCTGCCCGTCCCTCACGCCGGGATCCTGCAGCCTTGGCACCCTCAGGGACCACCAGAGCAGTCCGTACGCCGCAGGTAAGGACCGCCAGCTTTCTCAGAGGAGGAAGCTGCCTTTCCGCTCGTATATAGGAAGCCTTGATTGCATTTGAAAATGGAAATGTGTTTAGTATTTACCAAACGAAATTTGCTTACACAAATGAAAGAATTTATCACGTTAGAAGCGATTGCAGGGAGGGGTAATTCACTTACAGGGTTACACTATCCTAGTCACACCCGAACCGCCAACAAAATTATCTTAAGCTGCCAAAATGATAGGCATAATTTATTTACTTTGCGATGAGACGTAAAGCTTAGAAAATAATTAAATAACAAAGAGTAAAGCTCATTACTGGCAGTGTCTCTTTTTTTAAGAACCGACGGCGGCTCACACCTCTTTGGCTGGTCATTTTTATGATCGTTTCTTTAATTTATTATTTTTTTGCAGCACTTTCCCCCAACTTTTGGGCCGGGTCAACTTCTGAGGATCGAAAAGTTCCAACAGTGGCAGTGTTTTGTAACTTCTTCCTTGGTTCCTTGATATTCCGACTGACGTTTTCGGACTTTTTTCCTCTCTCGTTTTTCTTACTGAAAGCACTACCCCATGTCCTGGACCTCAAGCCGTCTCCAGTGCGCTATTTCAACCCACCCAAAGGCGCTTCTGCCAGAGGGACTCCACCAAAGCCCGAAGTTTGCGCCCTTGTTTCCGTATATAACTTAAGTTGCTCGGTTTTTCTCCGTAGCGGCTCCTAGGCGACCTGACCTTGGAGTCCCCACATGCCTTCTCCGCGGCCCGCGTGCTCCTGACTGTTTTGCTCACTGTCTCCTCTGTCACCCTGCAGTTCCTTACAAACTCTTCACGGACCACGGCGGCCTCAACGAGAAGCGCAAGCAGCGCCGCATCCGCACCACGTTCACGAGTGCGCAGCTCAAAGAGCTGGAGCGGGTTTTCGCCGAGACTCACTACCCCGACATCTACACCCGGGAGGAGCTGGCCCTGAAGATCGACCTCACAGAAGCGCGTGTCCAGGTACGCGCGCCTGGAAGCTGACCCCGCTCCGGCGCACGGGTCTGGGCAGGGCTGGGGGTGAGGAGCCGGGTGTGATACTGAAAGTTCGAAATCCAGGGGTCTTGCTTGAGAAGGGTTGAGGGACCGGGGATCCGGGGCCGATCCTCGAGGTCAGATTCGGTGTGGCTGTACGCGCAAGGAAGGGTTAGGGCACGCGCTCTGGGCAATTTATTCACAGCTGCAAGGTGTTTCCCACCCGACCACAGGTATTTGAGGCCTTAGGACGTGAATGAGCGAGAATTTTCGAGAGATTCGGTGTGGCTGTACGCGCAAGGAAGGGTTAGGGCACGCGCTCTGGGCAATTTATTCACAGCTGCAAGATGTTTCCCACCCGACCACAGGTATTTGAGGCCTTAGGACGTGAATGAGCGAGAATTTTCGAGGACAGAAAGTGTCTTGTGGGAGGAGGAGTGCAGGCTTTGCCCCCGTGTTATAAATATTTTTTACCAAACGCCTCCTCCTACCTTTAGCGCTTTTAACCTGACGTTATGGCCTATAGGTGCATGTTGCCAGGAACTATGACTTGCATCAGATTTGCAAAGGTGCTGTGACTCCATGAAGGTCCAGAACCGCAACTTACTCTGATCTTTTAGGGGCACAGGTGCGCTGACGAGCTGGCCACTGCTCCTCTCCGGGTGAGCCCCCAGTGGAGGGCGGTGCACACCGTCGTAAGCCCCTCCAGCCGCAAATGCCAGGAAGGGGCAGCCGGCACCAAACTCGGAGGCGCTCGCGCGCGCGCTCTCTCTTTCTCTATTTTTTTAACCAATTAGAGTTTAACTTTATACCTGAGGCCTAGGGCTGGATAGAGCTTGGAGGCTGCTCAAGAAGCGGACTGAGCAAAAGCTCACCAGAACAAGGGCTTCCATTTGGGGGTCTTTCTGGGACCTGCGGCCTTTTCACCTCTCCTGCAAGCCACCATTTCCCTGGCATGCTCAACTCGCCCTAAGAAAATTTCTCCGAAAATGCACCAGAAACAAGCAGGGGTGGACTTGGTGGGCCGGGTGCGCACGAGGGTGCCCGCGGCGCATTGGGGGAGGGGGTTTCCAACAAGCTGAAAGGGAAAGTGGGTCACCCTAGCCGGAGCTTTCCTTTCCGGTGTCCTTCTTTCTCCGCCTGCTTCATCGCCTCTCCTCCCCTCTTGGGCCAGGTGTGGTTCCAGAACCGCCGCGCCAAGTTTCGTAAGCAGGAGCGCGCGGCGGCGGCCGCAGCGGCGGCGGCCAAGAACGGCTCGTCGGGCAAGAAGTCGGACTCCTCCCGGGACGACGAGAGCAAAGAGGCCAAGAGCACCGACCCGGACAGCACCGGGGGCCCCGGTCCCAACCCCAACCCCACCCCCAGCTGCGGGGCGAGTGGCGG